TAGAATAGAATAGAATAGAATAGAATAGAATAGAATAGAATAGAATACTTTATTGGCCAAGTGTGATTGGACACACAAGGAATTTGTCTTGGTGTAAATACTCTCAGTATATATAAAGAAAAGATACATTTGTTAAGAATCAAGAATCATAACGTACAACACATAATGATAGTCATAAGGTACAATGATATAGGCTAGGCAATCTTTTAGTGTTACAATACTGCCTTACTTAGTGTTCTTCCCTTTCCACCCCCTCACATTTTCAAAGAGCATGACCCACGTAGGATAAATTTTTATACTTGTCAACAGCTATGTTGTGGAAACAGTTTCCTTTATTTCTGGCCATGTTACCATTACTGCAACAGTACAAAATTGTGTGTTTTGAGTTTTGTTACTGCCAGCTCTACAAGTCTGCTTCAGAAAGAAAAAAAAAGTTGGATGAATCTTTGTGTTAACTGGGAGTTTGAACAATACTGATGTGATCATAAACTATATACAGTATGCATAGCTAGGACCTTAAAACAAAGCATTCGACAGTTTGTAGAGAAAGCTGTAGTACATTGGCCCTTATAGTGTATATAAGTAAATAGTCATCTAGAAGCAGGAGGATTCTTGAAGATGCTTCCATTCAAATGTCTAGAAATCAATTGTGGTAATCCAGATCCAAACCAAATTCTGGACAGTAATAAAATGAAAACGGTTTTCATGATGCAGTTCCATCTTGAATTTAGCAACTAAGGAGATCTAACTTCTACCAGTCTCTTCCTTCCTAAGTTAAAATATTTTCCTTTTCTGCTGAAATGATGAAATTAAAGCTCATTTTGCTATGATTATTGCAAAACATTGGTGGCCTGGTGGAGGATAGTTTTTCTCAATTTCCAGCACATCTAAAACCTATTTTATTAAAAAAAAATTCTTACAAGTAAAAAACTTAATAACCAAAATATTTTAAGGTTACATTTGGCTTCTTAATAACAAGGCAACATAGCTTTTTAAAAGCATGATCTGTAGTTAAAATAGAAATAATCTATTAATGTGATGTGATATGATGGTAAAGTTATAGAGAGGGTACATTTTGTCTTTTTATGGTACAGTATTAATTAGTCTATAGAAACTCTGACACATACAAAACAACTTCACACACAAACTACTGTTAATTATATTATTAACTGTGTAGCCAAGAAGCAATAAAGAGAACAGACTGTACCTTCAGAATTCCTTTTCTAAAAATATCAGTTTGAGTTATGCAGTGTTCTTCAAAATGTGGGGGAGCTACAATAATTGTCCATTGTGGCAACTAGTTAGAACTTCTAGGTTAGATATTTTGGTAGAAAGATGTGTCATGAGTATGAGGTTTTTGACACATGTTAACTTAATTGGAGAGGGAATATTTAGAAATGCAGCCTACTGACTGCAGTAGTCATGGCTGTTTTGCATGACACATTTCTCGGGTCAACAAGACAGTAAGTAATTTGCAAACTTATGGTTGAAGCAGGAAGGATGAGAAATAGGGACATTTGGGAAATGTTATAGTGGGAAGAAAGAAATAGTGACTTTTTTTGTTGTTGTTGCTATCTTCCTCAGTTCCAAAGTATATTTCACCCATACCTATTTGGCAAGATTATATTGATTTTGTGTTTACAACAGTAGCATAGCCACCATAAATGTGGAGATGGGCAAGTTTGATATACTAGAAAAAAATAATTCATTTTTTCATATTTACCTAATTAAAATGTTAATTAAAAGTAATCATGTGCCTTCATAGACAGCTTGTGATTATTTGTGCATAATACTTTTTTCTTTAAATCTTGGTATAGTCTTTACATGTTAAACTCCCAATACAGGTTAAATTTACTACTAGAACTATCAAGGAATTTA